ACTCTATAACTCTGGATACAGTAGAGGGGTGTGTGGCAAGGCACACTAGCAACTCACTGCTGGTTGGTGGAGGATACAGGTGCTTTGTGAGGTCACTACTGCTATGTGTTCATCTAAGTGAAAATACTATCTGCAAGTAAGAAGAGCATGGAAGATTAAGAGGGGGCAACATCTCAAGTCTGGCCGGGTCATCTAAGCTCCTGTGGTGAAAGAACACCTACGCCTTTTAGTACATTTCCACTTCTGACTGACAAAGATGGCTCATGAAATCGACTGGATCAACAGCAAGGCTGGCGTGTGCAACATTACCTCCTACAAGTCCAAACAAAAGAAAGAGGACTCTGAACGTAAAATGGTTTGCTTTGTTAATGTTGCCAACCTGAACACGAGAGATGGGAATTTGGGCCGAAATGTTTTTAGTGACCAACCTGACCACATCAACGACCCTGCCGGTGAACTCGACTTACGAAACCTGGAGGAGAAGGAGGTCATTGTAATCAAGGACAACGAACGAAGGAAATGCATGAGTACCGACGGAGCGGTCTGCCTTTTCAAGCCAGGTTCCTCGGAAGGTGTCAATATTGTCAACTGGCTCAATAACGATCTCCAGAAATATGCCTTTGGGTTTGAACATGCACTAACTCCTTTCAGGACCTCTCAGAAACTGAAGGTGTTTGATAAGGGATCTCAGAACAACAATAACATGGGTTCCAGCAGTTCAATGGCAGGAAATTCAATGGCAGAAACAGGAAATTCAGAAGATCTTGCTTACTATGCTAACAAGCTCTGTTCCTTAGTGGTTGAGATGACACGGAAAGAGATCAAGGATAGATGGGAGAATACGAGAAAATACCTATGCCAAAACATTAATTCTTATAACGCGGGAAGGAGAGCTAGTGTAACAGAAAGCAAACCATCTTCCGAAGACGAAGGCAAGGAGCAGGAAGGACAGTATGATTCTACAAGAACAAGAAGATCAGAAGATTATACTTCTGTCAACAAAGGGTTGATGTTACATGCAAACCAGGTGGCTTCAGACATGATGCTCTCGTTCCTGAAGACCATAAGTGTCCAGAAGGGAAGACACCCTCCAGCTGCGTGCATTGTTTTAAAAGATGTACTTGTGAATCATGCCAAGGAAATAGTCTCAGACTTGATAGATTCCTCCATGAAAAATTTACACAACATCACCGGGGCACTCATGAAAGACTCCGATTTTATTTGCGGGGTGAAGAAGAATCTCTTCAGTGTTGGAAGCCAAAAGTCCACAGAGGTTTTGGAAGCCATGGTGAGGCGCTTGTTCAAGCTCCTGGCGGGAGATGACAAGACTCGGGCGCAAAGTTTAGCTTTTACCTCGTGTAAGTTAGGGGCGCTGGGGAACCAGAGAACTCAAGGCATGCAATTTGCATCCCTGAAAAGTGAGTGCCACAGCCAGGGGAAGGACAGAATGGGGGGACCAGGAGGACCAGGGAAACCTCACGCCTCAGGAAGTCGGGGGCTAGACAAGCAAGTGTCAGCGGATGTGTATGGAAAAGAAATTCTTTTAACAGCCTTAATGCAGATACAGCAGCACTTGTTAGAAAAAACCAAAAAAGCCAGAATCCGGGAAAACCATGCCAACTCATGTGGCTATCTTCACCATGACTCCACCTACGACAGAAGCAGTGAGAGAAGCCTGAAGCGCTCCTCGAAATCTTACGAGGGAAGACCAGACTGCGACGGCAGAGACAAAGGCAGCGTCCTGTTGTCTGTGATCCAGAAGGTCCTCCAAGAGATTGGTTTCAATCCCGAGGACCTGTGCATGGACAAGAACCGAGGCTAGACAGCAGAAAGACCCTACAGGTGTAGAATCTCCTCTTCTGAACCAGCCCAATGGAGTAGCAGATCTGTAGGACAAGATGCAGCAGATGGACAAGAACATTTATTGATCAACCTGTGGGATGCAAATGATCTCTTGGTTTTAGCTAATTAGGTGACATCATCACAGCCCCATTGCAAGCTGCGGTGGAGTGAATTCAGATTGGGTGATTCAACGGTAGCTGGGCAAGATCATCAAATAAAAACTAAAAGAAGAGGAAAGAGAGTTTGTCATTTATTGCTTTCCTCTGAGCTCAAGCTGTAAGCCCCATTAACAACCAATCCTAGACCATCACATCAATTGCAGGTAGCCCTCGACCACAGTGACCCCCAAAATTCCTATTGTTATGCAAGGCAGTGGTTAAGTGAGTTCCCCCCCCCATTTTATTTTGCTTTTCTTGTTGCAGTTCTTAAGTGAATCACTGCAATTTTTTTAAGTTAGTAACACCGTTGTTAAGTGAATTTGGCTTCCCCGTTGACTTTGCTCATCAGAAGGTCGCAAAAGGGGATCACGTGACCCCAGAACATCATCAATATGAGCCAGTAACCAAGCAGCTGAATTTTGATCACCATGGGGATGCAGTCATAAGTGTGAAAAACGGTCATAATAAGTCACTTTTTTCAGGGCCATTGTAACTTTGAGCAGTCACTAAATGAATGGTTGCAAAGTGAGGACTATCTGTAGTGACTGGGGGGAGTAAGACCCTATGCATAATACCTTTTTCCTAATTTTTGAGGACTTTAGCAGATCTTCATTTCAGCTAGTATTTCCTAACTTTTCAATTCGGTAATAACACAAGAACAAACTGCATTTTGGGGTTGGACTAGATGACCTACAAGGTCCCTTCCAACTCTGTTGATCTAATTGAAATCTACCCCAATGCTTTAGGAAACCCAAACAGTTCCATGATTTATTTTGCATAAGACGGCCACATTCCAGCCTAAATACTATGAGGATGCTCAATAAATAGCAGATGCCATCCCTTCCTACAGGCATCCCATTAGCTAGCTGAGTGTGACGACCCAGGGTGGGATACAAAATAAACACAGTCACAAAAACAGGTGAAGCCCCTTTTATTCCTTCACTTTGCTTCAAAGCTCCAAATATCCTTGACTGGAGACAAAAAACTCCCCCACAAGCAGTTATGAAAAAGAGGAAATGCCGTTTAAACTAAAAATGCCTATAAATTATAAAGAGTAAAAACAACACAAACCACACTGAAGCAATTAAGGGAACCATGCAAGATAAGGGCTTGAAGAGGTCCACAGATATTGGAACACACACTGGGAAGGACACCAAACTCAGAGAGGAACAACAGACTAGAGATATTTCCACGTTTTGTTTCCAGCACTGGCCCATACGCATGTCCGTCCTTTTAACCAGTTCTCACAGCTGCAGCCCATGAAGGGGATCAAGGCCCTTTTCTCCCCCGTAGACCATGCCATTCATGTCTCTCCCTTATCCTCTCCTCCCTGTGTGCCCTAGGATGGAGAGGGTCTGGGTCTTCCTCTGACTGCCCAGCCAGCCTCTTTCCTTCCCCAGCCTCCTCCACAACCTCCACAGCCACACTTCCACTCCCTGTCGGCTGTTCCTCCTCTCCCTCAGAGTCGACTCTAACCAGGGCATGACACTGAGAGTTGGTTTCCAATTTTGTTATAGACCATAATTTATTTTATTTATTTACTGCCAGCCCTCCCATGTAAGCCAAACAAGAAACACGACTAGATGAAATCATTCTACTTTATTGTTAGACTACATTAACAGAATCTTACCTCCTGCCATTACTTTCAACTGCTTGATTTTTCTTAAGTTTGTTCTTCTGACCCTTGGGGGGGCTCCTGCCTCTCTTGTCTGATTGTTTCGAAGGCAGCATCTCTTCCCCGTGCAGGCCACGCCTACCTTGCCTCCCGCGAATGGGAAAAATATTGCAAAACATCACATGACGGCAACGTGATGTCGCAAGTTTGATACCCGTGTCTTAAATCCTCCACTCATTCCATTACACGTGCTGAATTTACACCTCGCCTTTCATTCAAGAGTTCAGGAAATTCAAAACGCATCATTGGGTGAACTGTGAATAGCATAGCATAGCATAGCATAGCATAGCATAGCATAGCATAGCATAGCATAGCATAGCATAGCATAGCATAGCATAGAATAGAATAGAATACTTTATTGGCCAAGTGTGATTGGACACACAAGGGATTTGTCTTGGTGCAAATGCTCTCAGTGTTGTGAATGAATAAAAAGTAATAAACCTAAATGCAAAGCAGGTTTTGGAAGCCTGCACATTTGATTGGTCCTTAAACAATGAACAAGGATTGGTTCATAACAAGCCTCTGATTGGCCAAGTTTAGGACACTTCTTATTGGTTAATAGAGTAACAGCCAACCCTATAAAAGGGGCTACTGCTGCCCATAGCCTTGCTCTGTTCTGTTCTATTTACTGTTATTAAAGAGTTGAAGTCACTGGTCAGATGTCTGGTCTCCATTATTCTCCAAACATAACACTGGCGACGAAGGTGGGATCCGGAGACCGAAGAGCTGACTGAGTTACAGAGCAACCAACAGAGCACGTGGTCGAACACGCACCATCAACGGCAACATGACCAGCGGTGTCGTACCACCCGCTCCATTCAACCCAGAAACCGAAGACTGGGAATCGTACATGGATAGGTTCCAGATGTTTCTGGAGACCAACAATTTGAAAGATGCAACAACCGGCAAAAAAAAGAGCTATCTTTCTAACTCACCGCAGGCCTACCGTGTTTAAAATGGCAAAATCGCTTGCCAAGCCAGCCGAAGTAAAAGCGATGGACTGGGACGTCCTCGAGCCTTTGCTACGGGCTCACTACGCGCCCACCATGCCAACCTTAGTCAGAAGACACGAATATTACCAGAGGGACCAACGGAAGGGCGAAAGCCTTGCCAATTACATCGCGGACCTCCGCAACCTTGGAGGCCTCTGCGGATTCTCCGACTTAGAAGAAGCCCTCCGGGACCGCCTGGTTCTGGGCCTAGAAGATGGCACGATCCAGAGCAAAATTATGGCTAAGGGGGACATCAGCCTCACCGATGCCCTTAAAGAAGCCACTGCAGCGGAGGCGACCAAGAAGTTGGCAGCCCGAATGCGCCGCACCAACGCACCGCTACGTCAACTCGCCAAAGATACCTCGCCTCGCTCAGGGAGATACCCGGTATCGACTCACCACAAAGACCTAGAATCCCCATCAGAAAGCGATGAGGAAGAGGTCAACCGACTCCGAACGGAACGAGGCCAGTTCACACAACCCTCATCCCGACCGTGTGCGGGATGTGGGGCGAATCACCCACGATCCAGCTGCAAATTCCTCGACGCACTCTGCCACATTTGCGGGAAAAGAGGTCACATCGCAAAGGTTTGCAGAAGCAAACAAAACTCCAAACCCCGACAGGCCGAATGCCAGTCTTCAGAATTCTTCGGCACACCCCGAAACAAACTGAATCACCAATGGGGAAGCCACTCCTACAGAAACAAACCGTCCACCACTTCCACCAGGCGTGAAGAAACCAGGCGGGAAGAGACCCACCAAACAATTACCATAGGCCACGCTACATCCCTTGATGCCGGGAAAATCCGAGTAGAGGTCGCAATCGAAAACAAACCTTGCATCATGGAGGTGGACTCAGGATCATCCCTCTCGATGGTGTCCTGGAAGACGCTTCAACAGCTCATCCCGACGATTCGCCGCCAAGACCTAAACCCTCAAAGGGTTATCCTCAAAGATTACCAGGGTAACCAAATTCCCGTTGTCGGGTCCCGCCGATTCCAGGTCTCTTTCAAGGACCGCACCGTCGCACTGCCACTGACTGTCGTGGACCGTGACCGGCCTAGTCTTTTAGGCCTTCAATGGTTCAGACCACTTGGAATCACTGTAGCGGGAGTCCACCGTGCCGAGAGCAACGATTGGGAGGAAGCCCTCGTGCAAGAATTCCAAGACGTTTTCGCGAACGGACTAGGCAAGTACAAGGGGACCCCAATCTCATTTAGCTTGAACCCCGAGGTAGCACCCATCTGCCTTAAGCCGCGGCGGGTGCCGTTCGCCCTGAAACCTAAAATCGATGAACAACTCGATAAACTGATAGAACAGGGCGTGTTGGAACCCACCGACCACGCCCGATGGGAAACCCCAATAGTGACGCCTATCAAGCCTGATGGGTCACTGAGAATTTGCGGAGACTACCGGGCCACCCTAAACCACGCACTCCAGCAAAGTGCATATCCAGTGCCGGTAGTGCAACACCTGCTCCATTCCCTGGGTGGCGGGAAAGTTTTCACTAAACTAGACCTAGCGCAGGCTTATCAACAATTGCCTGTAGATTCAGCCACCGCGGAGGCGCAAACTATCGTCACGCATAGGGGCGCATTTAAATGCAACCGGCTCCAGTTCGGGGTGAGCGTCGCCCCAGGAATCTTTCAAAGCTTAATGGAAAGGCTGTTACAAGGGATAAGAGGGGTCGTACCGTATTTCGACGATGTGCTCATCGCCGCCCCGAACAGGGACATTCTAGAAAAACGACTCCGCCTAGTTTTACAAAGGTTCCAAAACGCAGGCCTCAGAGTCAAAAAAAATAAATGCAAGCTATGTACCGAACGGGTGGAGTTTTTGGGATACCTCCTGGACAGTCAAGAAATCCATCCCACTGAGGACAAACTAAAGGCAATTAAGAAGGCCCCCACTCCAAGGAACAAGGCAGATCTACAGGCGTTCCTTGGACTTATCAATTTTTATAACGTCTTTTTACCCAATAAAGCAACCATAGCTGAACCATTACATAGACTCTTAGACAAAAAAGCAACGTGGGTTTGGGGACAACGTGAACAAAACGCTTTCCAGCAAGTAAAGAAATTGCTAACTTCTGATTCTGTACTTATGCAGTACAACGAGACTCTGCCGTTAACTATTACTTGTGACGCCTCACCTT